GAGATAAAAACAAAGTAGAATGGATAGCAAGAGGGAATAAAACCAAACTGTAACCAGCAGCAAGGATAAAATAGGACAAAGATCTAAAAGCACTAACATGATGCCTAAAATATCTGTAGAAGTGATAGTGTTATCACCAGTTTCTGCAGGCTTCATGTGAACCTCTCTGGGGGTAACAATCCACAGGTGTGGTGCCATCACCATAAAAGCCTCATTTTTTTAGGGAGGTTGAAAAGGGTCTTGAATGATGAATTTAGGATGCACATGGATAAATAATGAGGAGATGCTCCTTTGGGAAGAATAGTACTAAGGCATTTAATGCTTCAAAGATTAAACAGATACTTGGGATTAGGCCTTAAAACAGACTAACAGAAATTATAGTTGCTGGAGGACTGGCATAATGTCATCAGGCAGTCTCCTTTAGTAATCTAGACACACTGTGTTGGATTAACTGAAGTTTGGGGATTGTTTCAGTGTTTACAGTATAATCCAATAATCCAAGTGAGCAATTACCAAAGCATGAGTAGTAGTTCTAAGTCTGCCTGCATTTAGATAGGGGAAGGATGAGCAATTTAGAAGGTTCTGGAGCCCAGTTGTCTGTTCTAGGACTCACACCTGCTGCATTACTCTCCCCCTTCCATGTGATTTTAGAAGACTGACCGTTCCAGACCCAAGACTTTCCTTTCCTTTCTAAAAATGTTGATGGCCTGTGGAGTTTTCAGAGCCTTCCCCTTTTTGATAACACAAGAGTAAGTCAATGAGATTTCCAGGAGTGGAAAACAGTTCTAATGCCCCCATCATTTTCATTCTCAAGGGCCCTTGGAGAGCCACAAAATGAGTGAGCTCTATGTAATCCACTGGCCACATTTTGCCCATCCTGAGATAGCATCACAGTTGCTGTATCCGTCTAAATGAATGAAAGGCACTTAATGCCCCTGTGGCTCCCAGTGCCTCTAGTGACAATAATGAATGAAAGATTCATTACGCACCTGATCCTTTAAGGTGAGGTGCCTCTAGTGACAATAATGAATGAAAGAGTATCCCCAAATTATGCACCTAATCCTTTAAGGTGAACACGACACCTCCATGACTCATTAAATGCTGCTGAGATAGGCAGACAGCCCACAGTCATATATACACATGCATAGTATATAATCTTACTTTAAGATTCCTAGTTTCAGAGTGAATAATTTATTTAAAAGGCATAAGGGACCTCATAGGGGCCTTTCCATGAGATGATCCGTTACCAATGTATCTTGTAGAAATCACACCAGCCAGGGACAAGCTGTGTTCAGGCTTTACATCTTTTACATCTCTTTAGTCTCTTCATCCATCAGCACACTCTTAGTTTCTAGTGACCTTGCCTACAGTGGAAGATTTTAGTTTATTTCTAAAAATAAACTTACAGCTTGGGACAAACCATAACTGTTTGTGTGGGTCACACTAATTTTGATATATAGTTACTGTGTCCCTGTCTTTTCTAGCGCTGGATTTTCAATACAGTATTGTCATCCTTCAGTGCTAGAAGGCTTTCTGTTGGCTTCTGGTCCTTCAGTCTAGTGTGGGTCATATGGTCAGCCAGGAAGCATTCAACTGGGATAGCTGTGCATGTAATAGATCTGTCTGAAACTGGTGGCATGTGAGCCGTTAGGCCTGACATAAGATTCCACCTTTTGGATCAGTCAGAGGGCAGTGTAGATGAGAGGTAGTATGAAACTCCACAACAAAGCTACAACTTTTCCCTAGTGAAGGGAATGTCACATACTGCTTCAGTGAAGAACAGTGTTATCAGTTGCCAAAGCATACTGCTTATAATAGACAGATCAATAAATCTCTTTGTCCTTCATAAAACTTCTGAGACTGAAATAGTAAAACAAGGGGGCAAAAGTACCATGTGCTCACTGGGGTAGCATTGCTTACTCATCACAGCCTCATCCTGCTTACCAGTGATGGTGTCAAGTATAATGAAGGGCTTGATCTCAGTTCATATTTTAACACTTTATTCTGCAGAGATTTGCAATGACAGAGATGTTACAATATTTTCTGCACATGTAGGAAATATACAAAAGGAACTTTTTCTATTTTAAAAAGAAAGGTGAAAGTGTTACTATGATGGCCCAGTTGACATTATATTTGCAATTGAGATTCCATGTCCACTGCTTTGTATTGAAGAGAACAATTTCTGATATTGGTGGAGTGGGGAATTAAACAGAATAACTATGCTTTGGTATTATGCATCCTATTTTCTATCAGAATATTTGTGTTAGCATCAAGGTGCTAGCAGCTTTTAAGAATAATGCTGTTTTTTTATCATGACTGTTCAAAGGCAATCGTTGTACCATATAATTTAAAGTGATTTAGACTATCTTTATTTTTAGTAAACATGATGACTGTAATCAGATTCCTCAATTTAGTCTAGAATTATATTCCTACACTTTTTATTCTCCTGGCCGCTGAGCCTTGAGCTGCCAAGGTATCCAGGTCTTTCAGATATTCCAGAGGACTAATTCTTATTTATGTACCTTTACATGCAGTGAAAGCTGAAAATTATAAGAAAGCTTCAAAGGCATTGAGATTTCAGTTGATGATAATGTGGTATCAAAATTACCTGTAGCTAATAAACCCACACCAGCCCTGTAAGTTAACTGAAGAGTGATAATAGGAAAGCTGTGTGTTCTGGACTAAATTAAAAACAAATTACTGTATACTGGATCTGGCTCATATTTAATAAATTCTGTCAAGCAGTCTTCATACAAAATAGTTGTGACTAATGATTTTTTAAATATAGTTATTTGTGCCAAATAATCTTCCATGGAAGAAGGACTTCATAGCCAAAATGCCTTTGGATGTAGGAAATTTTCCATGCCTAAGATCTCAGAAAGAATATAATTTGTAATGAAGAAATATATCTAATAGTAAATCCAGCTCACTAAGTGAAGATTATGCATCATGCAAACAACTTAAATAATGGACAAAAATTCCCAGGGATGAGAAACTTATTGCAAATAGTCTGCCCACATTTACAGAAATGTCTTGATAATTAGCAAAATTGTATAATGTACATTGATACCCAGTGTGATGTAGTTAGTGGGTTAGGTGATGGACTAGGATTTGGAAGACCAGGGTTCTCGAATCTGTACTTAGCCATAGAAACTCAAGGGGAGTAGAACTGGTAAAATTGCTAATTACATATCTCACTTATCTTGAAAACCCTGTTAGGGTCACTATAAGTCAGTTCTGAGTTGATAGAACATAATGTAACGTAATGTGCACTCTCTACTGGTTTTTGCCCTGCATGTTTACTGTAAGTTGGAGCACTTTGAGACAAATGTGATTATAATAAGCTTATTCTAAAACTGCTTGTTTCTTTGGGAATGACGGAGAAGGAGGAACCTTCTGTTGAATGAGATCTGTTTTGTTCCACTGTGTTACGACAAATGTGTTAGTATGCCTTTTAACGAAATACTTAGTTTAAAGAAATGCATTTTGACAGCAGTTTCTGAATATTAGATTTCATCTTGAGAAACAGATTTTGGGTCTTATCCTGGTCTCTGCCTGGAACTGTGTTACTTCACAATTCTAGAGACACTGGATGCTGTCAGCTCTGTGGGGAGCTTTGTGTAATGCACACTGTGATCCACATTAAGTGGTTCAATCTGTGTGACTGGTGCATAGATCGTCTTGCTGTGCAGCACAGTAGGGGAATGTACAGTTGATGATGAAGTCCTTCTAACTACGGTTTTGAAATATCTAGCATGATATCATCTCATGCATGTGGTTGCTAGAGATGTAAAATTTTGAAAAAAAATCCATTTTCTCTGGAAAAAAATTATATATCTAGAGAGAACTTAAATATATAAAGTCTCAGAAATCTTTCATTAAGGTCTTCATGGTGTATCGTTCAAATACCATATCATAGACATATTTAACATTGTGAAAGAACATATTCCACACTCCATATTTTTTTTCAATTTTTTCTGGAAAAAAATGGTTTTGCGAGAAAAAACGTCCCCCCCCCCAATTTTTCAGGGTTTTCCCCAGGCCTCCCCATCTCTAGTGGTTGCCTACCACTTGGGACGCTTTCTCACTTGCTCTTTAATTTGTCTTTCTTTTGGAAGGGTAATCTAAAAAGTTGTTCACTCTCAAGATTCACATATTTTTCTGCTTTTACTCACTATTTAATTTCTCAAACATTCTTGAGTTGTTTATAATTGGAGGAGGGGATGTTCGTGTTTATAAACGAATATCCTCATCTCCCCATGCAGACGAGTCTCCCTGCACTGCTGCAGTTGGCAGGAAGAGTGGGACCTTCACAGGGTCAGGACATGTGAGTGGATGGGCCAGTTCTGGGGGCTGGAATCCACATTAGGTGCAGCTTGGACAGGGATATTCTTATTCGTTAATGAATACAAATATCACCATCTCTATTTATAATGAAAGCTATTTTGCACAAAGCAACACTTTCTGCTGAGTAAACAGGGGACTGAAGAACAAAATGTGAGGACAACTGTGTGCTTCTTTTGTAAAGATGCATCTGCTGTTGTGGTTTAGTTCAAATAAAAACACTTCCTTTGTTCAGATTCACATCAGTCTCTGATCCTCACTAAGTAAACATCCATTAAACCCAAATTTTGTAAGAGCTCTGGTTTGAGCAAAGTGCAGTAGGAATATATGTCCATTTAATCTTTTCCTGATGCTGTAGAAGTATAAACTGGACCAAATTGTGTAGAAGAACATGGTCTATTAAAAGTAAAGGTCTTCTCATTATTTCATGCAGCAATTTGTATCACTGTTTATCACTGTTTGCCTTAAGTCTATCCATTAAAGCAATTCTTTTCTGGCGCTGCAGTCATACAGGCGCTGCAGCCGTACAGTAAAATGTGTGTTGTTGAAATTCACCACGGCTTCACTCTCTTAATGCATTCTGTAAAGAATTTATAGCAATGTATTTATAGCTTGTTTATGCAGAGGATGTTTATGCTAGCTATGTTCGTCTACAGGGAAGATGAGCATGCTCTCATCCAACAGTACTGTCAGACTCTGGGAGGGGAATCACCTGTGAGCCAGCCACAGAGTCCAGCACAGATCTTGAAGTCAGTGGAGAAGGAGGAACGAGGAGAGCTTGAGCGCATCATTGCTGATCTTGAGGAGGAACAAAGGTGTTGTCATCTCCCCTTGTTAAAATGCTAGTGCCTCGTTAGTGCAAAAGCAAAGCAAAGTGTGCTGCTTATATACCACCCCATAGTGCTTCAAGCACTCTCCGGGCAGTTTACAAGTTAATTATGCTACACATTGCCTCCCCACCTACACATTGCATCCCCAGCAAGCTGGGTACTCATTTTACCAACCTCAGAAGGATAGAAGGCTGAGTCAACCTTGAGCCGGCTACCTGGGATTGAACCCCAGGTCGTGAGCACAGTTTTGGCTGCAGTACAGCGGTTTAACCACTGCACCATGAGGTGATGGAATGACAGAGAAAATGGGGTGATGGGAACAAGGCAAAGCAGTGGTGAGAAAAAATGGAACAGCAAAAATGTTGAAGACAATGGAACAACAGTTGAATGTGAATGGGAAGATATGCTTTGCTTGCACTTTTGTTGATATGCTTTTGTTATGCCATATGTCAGCAAAGGTCAGAGTTCATATAAGAACTCAGCAACTGTTGCCTAAGTTCCATAACTGTAAGATAATGATTAGAGATTAGGGGTTGAATTTTAAATTACATTATCTTATGTCTATGCTGTCATTAAACCAGCTGCTTATTATATACAAACTGACTGTAGGATGCTACAAGTAGAATATGAGCAACTAAAGGAGCAACATCTTCGAAGGGGGATGCATGCTCTGAGCTCACCACCAGACTCGGCCGTGTCACCCCAGCACACAACTGAAGAAGATGCTGAGCTCATTGCAGAGGCCAAACTTTTACGGCAACACAAAGGTCGTCTGGAGGCTAGAATGCAGATTTTGGAAGATCACAATAAGCAACTGGAATCTCAGCTTCACCGGCTACGACAGTTGCTTGAGCAGGTATGGTATTCACAGTTGCTTTTTTTCGGGAAGAGAAGTTATTTGTAGATACTTAGCAACAACATTCCTTTTTGGAGCAAATTCATTCCTTTATCCTTTCATTTAAATTGTAGAAAAGCTCCATTGTGCACTGCTAAGTGTCTCTTGTCAGCTCCAGCTAGTCTTTTTATTATCCATACACTCAAAGTAAAGAGATGTTGTCTGCGCTGGTTCTTTGTTAAAATGTGCCTCTAAACACTATATTGTGGGTGCGGCTTTTAAAAGTTGATGAAATGGCTGTAGGTGTCAACCTTGCACAGCAGTGGATCTGTCTAGGAGTTTCAACTTGGCTAATTTGATATTTTTTTATTATGGCTATTAGAGATGCTGGGGTTTCGATCTGCTTTGAACCCAGATTCTTTGCCAAAACAGTTATGACCTGAATCCTTGATCTACAGGTGTTAGTGTTTGTAGGCATGTTATTTAGTGCTGAGAAAAACAAGCAATCTGAATATTTTCAAAAACTCTTTTCCCCTTTTAAAAAATATTTTAAAAATTACTTTACATTTGATGGATTTTAAAGAACATGAGTGCTGACTTGAAGTAAGAATAGGTTTAGTTTTATAAAGTGATCCTCTAAACTACATTTACCCCTGTATTCAGCATGCCTTATAAATTATAGTTTTTTTCAAATGCACTTGCAAACAATGTTACAAGAATACCTATTGTAATTAATGAATGACAGCATCTAAACTGGTAGCAGCTTCAAACAGCATGTATGTGTGGTGAGATAGATGTTTTTGTTGTCCTGTAATTCATGAAACCCTCATCTTACATATTGAATGATTTCTGCTGCCTTTTCCTAATTATAATTGTATGCTAATTAATTCTTCTGCTGATTAAGCAGAACTGAAGACAGATGTGAATACAAGATTATTATTTACATAGATAGAATTCCATTATTCCCTTTTTGCATCTCTTTGTCATCCATTTGATAGATGTAGAAAGTCAGAGGCTGTAAGTGTGCACCTGATCAAGTGCTCTTAAAGTGCTTTAAGATTGTTTGCCCCCATGGTTTTGATGACATTCTCAACACAAATTCTGAATTACTCAATTTGCTTGGTTTATACTTCTCAATGATCCTGACAGTGCAATTTGAAAATTAAGCTACCGTGAAAGGACAAGCTCCATTACTTCAGAAAAAGCTTTCACAGAGAAGGAACCCCAGTAACCAGAGCTACAATGAGCAATATTGGCACTTTAGGTTTTTCTACCTTATTGGTTAAGACTGGGTCACACGAGATTGGTATGTAGAGGGAGATGGAGGAATGAGAGAACATCTGGATCTGATCACACAACGCCATATTGGTTCCTCACTGATCTTGCCTCTTTTATATTTCTTCTCAGAGGGGAGAAGCAGCTGGAGATGGTATGCACACCTAGAGTGGCAGGTTCACACCTTTCCAGCAGCAAATGAGGGAGGCTCATGCTCTTTTTCAGGCAAAGGCCTGCGCTCACTGAATTTCAGAGTTCCAGAGCAAAGCTCCAGTTGCCCTGCACATCATAGAAGAGGGTCTTCTAGAGTAGATTTGCAGAGGGTGCCAGAAAAGGGAACGGGCAAAAGATGCCTGTAACCGCCACTCTCAAACTTCAAAGAGCGGTTGCTACTTTACTTTAAAATCTTGCTGCCACCAACTTATCCTTAAAGAAACATAAAAGGACAAGTGTAAACAAAAACTGGTTTATTGATTACAGAAAAATAAAAATAGTAAATCACTGGTAAAGAATCAATTAATCAATCACTGTTAATAAACGCTGGCTCACATAGACTATTTCTCACTGACAGGCTCTCTCACTCACTATAACAGTCACTTTCAACTCTCAGCTCAGACTCTAATCTCTTCTCTCTCACTCTTCACCCCCCTTTTTATATCAGCTCCTCCCCTTAAGTTCCACCTTCCGTCACACCATTGGCTGATGACTCACTGCCCAGCTGTGACGGACAGGTGATGTTATGTCTGCCCATTACAATGCCCCTTCCCCTTGTGCCAGCAGACATGAAGCCAAGATCAAAACCTTAATGTACAACAGAACTTGCTGTTTCTTTTGTAGCTAGTATTGGAGACATGTTCATTTTTTTCCATTAATATTTTAAAAAATATTCATAGCCCAGTTTCTTAAAAAACAAACAAATATGATCATGCTGTGTTGTTGTTTTGAAAATGAACTGTGAGCCGACAGCTAGTCTGTTACCTTGTGTTATGTGCTGTTATTTGTTTGCTCTTCTGATATATCATTTGTAAACCAGTCACTCACTCTTTCTTAAAGTGTGCTTTATTACTGTGATATGTTGACTGAAGCGTGTTGATTAGCTTAATAACTTGTCAGGGTGGGTGTAGTATCTCAGTCTGTGGGAAGAAAACACATTGAGCCTGGTAAACATCGTACTGTTATTTCTTGTGGAACACCAAAGGAAATTCTTGGGAGTTACATTTTCCAGTCCTTCACATGGGGACTTGAATATTTCAGGTCACAGTTTGGAGGTGCACTTGCTATTTTTATTTCTGCAAGCCCAAAGGATTGTCGGTTGTCAGGAGTGCTGTCATTTTTGTCTGAAAGATTGATTACAATGTCAAATTTAGAGGTGAAGCAGAGTTGGCATGTGGCAGCTTGACAAAGACATGTTAATTATAAAGAGGAAATAATAAAACAGTTTCAACTACTTCTTCAAGCCCTCGTTCTTCCAGATATGTAAGCCGTCTATATGAAACTGTTAAAGCTGTGCAAATCAGATACAATTTTTTGATCCACTGACATGGGGCAAGACCAGTAATTACCCCACAATTAAGACAAGTACAGTTTGTCTGTAGACGTTACATAAAACATTTTCAAAAACAAAAGCAAATGTTTCTAGATTTCTGATGGTATATTTCAGTACACTGACACTCTTTTTTTGTTGTTGTGGGTGAGAAAATGTGTAAATACTCATTACACATTCCTTGCACACTGCAGGAAGAGAGAAGAGGCAAATGCATGAACTCAAAGCTTACTATACTCATGATGCCAAATTGTGATTCAGTGTTACATGCAAATGTAGCCACATACTTTTCTAATCTAATAGAAGACTAATCAAAGAGAACAGTTTTTAGTATTCACTGGCAAAAATAGCTATCTAGCAAAACTGGGTAAAGAGCAACAATGCCAGTTGACCGATATGGAGAAGAACATGGTTCCATCATCATCAATATCATCATCAGTTTGAAAAATCTGCACACTCATTTTATGCCCTGATGTTACACTGTACATGGAGCTTGAGACTGAGAATGGCTAAGCACTGAATAAAGCATATTTTCAATGTACATTTGTACCATCTGTTTATTCCTAATGGGCCAAATTTGTCTGTAGCAACACAAAGCAATGTCTTCCTCATGCCTTGCAGCTCTGCCCCACTTCCTGCTGAAACATGCAACCTAACATGCAAAAGCTAATACCATCAAGACCATTTTGAAGGCTTGATCATGCACCTTGGGATGAACATAGGCACAATCTGTTGCATAACACAGCTGTTCAATATTGCGGGCAGTGGAGGGGACAGATACTCAGTATGGTCAGAAGTGTGCTCTTTTTGACTGGGTCTGGATCAGTATATATTAGATGTATTTCCACCTGGATATCAAGCCATATAAGACCATTATTAGCAGATTATATTCAATGTCTAAAATGTGCTTTGATATCCTCAGGTGGACTTGAAGCATTTTTAAAATTATTATTTTGAAAAAAATCTATTTCAGCCTGAAACAGATTCCAGAGTTAATGGAGGCTCTTCCTGTGCTTCACCTCAACATTCTGCCCTCAGCTATTCTCCTGATGAAGATGCCAATTCACAGTTTAATCAGACAGGTAGGTTTTCTAACCATTAAAAAGACTGTGTCATATTTATGATGAGTTGTTTTACAAAGATTTTTTTGTATTAGGTTAGAAACTATTAGTCATTCCTTGCAAAACACAAAGATGGCTATGGAGTGTTTTCATCCTGAATACATTGCCTAATGTGGGTGTTACAGGACTCCTTGTTGTATCATGTTTTAAAAGAGTAGTAAGGGTTCTGCCCAAGCAGTGGGATCTGGTGGAAGTACATCACTAGAGACTAGCTTGTATTTCCAAATAAAGGAGAGATTTTTTTAAAAAAAAATATGGTGAATCTTTTAAAAAAAAAACCTGAGATAAGAGAGATTTTTTTTAAAAAAAAAAAAAATTATGGTGAATCTTTTAAAAAAAACTGAGATAGGTGTTGAGGGACGTGGTGGTGCTGCGGGCTAAACGCAGAAGCCTGTGCTGCAGGGTCAGAAGACCAACAGTTGTAAGATCAAATCCACGCGATGGAGTGAGCTCCCATTGCTTTGTTCCAGCTCCTCACCAAACTAGCAGTTCAAAAGCATGCAAATGTGAGTAGATAAATAGGTACCATCTTGGTGGGAAGGTAAAAATGGTGTTCCCTAGTCACGCTGGCCATGTGACAATGGAAACTGTCTTCGGACAAGCGCTGGCTCTACGGCTTGAAAATGGGATGAGCATCGCTCCCTAGAGCCAGACACGACTAGACTAAAAATGTCAAGGGCAACATTTACCTTTACCTAAGCTAGGTGTTGAATTTTGTTTTTAGGGAAGCTTCTAAATAAACATAAGTAGCCTCTTGATGAAGGCACCAGACCTTTTTTTTCCAGAAAGAGTCATAGAATTGTAGATTAACTGGTGTAATCAATCTGTTGATTGATTTATTACTTTTTATCCTGACTCCTCTCTCTATAGATCTTTTAGGGCTGTGTTATGAAGTAAGATATGTTTTATAAATCAGCTAAAACAACTAGATGAAATGGTGTAAAAAGCAACAATTGATATATCATTGGTGAATTTCCATCAACTGGAAAGTCCCTCTGTGACAACATTAAGACCAAATAGCTTGGTACTAAATAAAACCATTATAATATTGATTTAATGTGAAAATGGAATGAGTCTGGCTTTGTTGTTGTGGAAAACATTACAGAATGCATGTTGAGATTTATAGATTTTGTAATTCTTTGCGTAGAAATTTATCCAGAACCTTTTGCCTGCCAATTCCTTGGCAAATAGAAGGTGCCCATGGCTAATTTTCAGGGTTCCCTCTTCCCCGATGCATGCACACTGTAGCCCCACCCTCATTCAGCAGGGTCCCCTGAACCTTTACATAATGTTTTCATGAGTCAGCACAGCCCGCCTCCTACAGCCCAGTTGCCCATGCCTAATCCTGGATCCAATCCAATATTTGCATTAAAAGAGCATGTATGAGCCTATATTCCTTTTTAATCTCCTCCGCCAGCTTGGGTTTCGGGAGAGGTGAGCTACTTGTTCCTTGCTCAGATGTGAAGCAGAGGTTTCCCTAAGACACTCCAGCCCATATTCATGAGTCAGCACAGCCCGCCTCCTACAACCTAGTTGCCAATGCAATAAATATTTATTTATTTATTTATTTTTGGATATATATCCTGCCCTTCTAGACAGAAGTCTACTCAGGGCGGCTCACAACATCAAACAAATAAAAACAATTAACAACTACAATAATAATATGATCAAGATGGGAGAATAAACAACAAAAGCAAGAAAATACAATCAAGAATTGGCGGGAGGGAATAATAGGTTGATAATAGGTTCAATTATAATAGGTTCTTGACTAGAGATGGGGGTATTCGTATACGAATACAAATATCCCCGCAGAGTTGGAAATAACAAAGGTCCATATGACTGTCCACGCATGATTTTGCCACCGCTGCCAGCTCTACAGAACCTTCCTATTGCGCCATTGTCCACAATCGCAATCGATCTCCCAGTCCTGGCAGGAGACGGGATGACAAGCCTCTGTGCTAGGTCACAAAGTGGCTAATCCATTGCGGACAGTGGCACAATAGGAAGGCTCTGCAGAGCCGGCGGCAGCGGTGTAATTGTGAGTGGACAGTCCAGCCCCATGGGGCCAGACCCTCGTTATTTCCACCTTTGCGGGGATATTCTTATACGAATACTCCCATTTTCTGAAGGATATCAGCTTGGTTTTTCTGCTTTTCAGTCCCCAAATCATGTCAGGAGGGTGCAAGGCTAAAAAGCAAAATGAGTAGGCTGTTCCCTTTAGCCATTCAGGCTCCTGTCCCCATCAAGTGAAAGCTGACACTCTTTCCCTGTTTCTCGATGTCGGAAATATTCCTTAAGAGCAGTATACATGCTCAGTCTTTTTCTCACACCTGTTTGGCAGGTGGTAGCAATTATTCGTCAGGAGGTCATTCTGATTTATGTTCCTCCTTTGGTGGAGAGGAATCTTCTTATCACCTCCATTTAGTAATAGTGCCCATCAGGTGAGCACTGGAGTTTTCTAATAAATATAGTGATTCTAAATAGATAGCCATCAAGCATTTTCTTTCTGCTGGACAGGATAATAACTTGATGGTGAATTTATGCATCTAGTTGCTTCTGGGAAATTCTTTATTGGCTCCATTTCTGGCACTCTATTTGCTTATGATGGAGAAATGAGATCAGCTTTAAATTGATAATTTAATCTGTATTTCTCTCTTTCCTATCCATTATTAGTGAGCAATTCTTGTATGTCGAATGAGAGATTTCAAACAGTAGGTTTCTATTTCATTTTTTTTAAAGATTGAAAACATAAAGAGGATGAGGAAACAACTTCTAGATTCTGAAATGCTGCTTCATTGTGGCTCAACTGATTGCACATTTTGTTTTCATTAGGTGTAGATGACTTGTTAGTCCCACCTCATGACACTAGCACAGATCTAACAGATGTCATGGAGCAAATCAACAGCACATTTCCAGCTTGCCGCAGTAAGTGATGAGTTGATAAAGCCCAGAAAAGTGAAACTGAACTCCAGTGCAATTGCTTATTAAGGTACAATGTGATGCTCTGTGAAGTTCCTCCTTGAATGGACATCACAGAATCTAAAGTAACCTACAAGCAAAAAATAACTATCATTCAGCAGTAACTACATCATATCATTTATCACTCTTTAGATTTCAAGTATCTCAATGAATCCTTACTTTCATAACCTTTCTAACAGAGAAGTAGTGTAAGACTAAATAACCAATAGATGGTTGTTAGTTTGTTGGTGCAAAAACAAAAGAAGAGTCTCATAACATTTCAAAGTCTTAACAAGTAAGTCTGTTGTGGCAAAAACTTTGGGTTACATGATGTCATTGCATTTATAGTATCCTTCTGCTTCCACTGGCCCAACTGGACATAGACTTGGGTCTGCCAGAGGTGACAGGCAAATTCCTGTGTCAGAAAATAAGAGCTCCCAGCTGTGATACTATCCCTATTCAAAGGGATGGAACAATTAGTAGAGAATAGAGATGGACATGAATCACAGTTTGGCTGTTCAGCCCAGTTTGGAGTGGCGCCTGCACAAGGCATCTCCTCTAAAACAATGTGCCTCTCCACATTGGTTTTAACTTTTTGTTGTTGTTTAAACTGTAAGTATGGTATGAAACCATTTTCAGATCACTTCTATTTCATCTGGAGGGGCCTGTATGAGCCCCAGAGTTTGCCCATCCTAGTAGAAAGTCTTTGAAGGGCTGACATCCTACTTTTCCTGGAATTGTTTCCTTTGCGCTTGACATAAAGGGGATGCTTTCCTAGTAGAGTGTGAGTCCCGGGCACTTAAAAATTGTGGATTACGTGGGTTATTAATTAAGCTCAGGCTGTTGTAGAACCAGACCATGTTTAAGCAGAAAGGTCAGCACTCTGTTCTTTTTTTATCAGACACCAAAGGGAGATGCTGAAGGTACCCAGTATGTAATAGTCCCCTTGTAAGTTAATCATGTCCACTTCCTTGATTTCCCTTTACCTGAACTAAAAGGGATCATGCACAAATGATTTAATTTGGAGAGAACTTTTGGTATGTAGTAGTGGTGTTATCTCTGTGACATACAGTGGTAGGTGACCTCTTTAGTCATGATACTGGGATCCAGCCTTCAGTCTGTAAATAGAGGGTAAAATAAAAGTAGTTTGGTGCTGCTGCTGATACTACTACTACTACTACTACAGTTATGCTTTCTGCTCCCATTTTTTGGCTGTAGTTTTTATTTAAATATTCTAAATGGTTCCCATTTTTTGGCTGTAGTTTTTATTTAATATTTAAATATTCTAAATGGCATTTTACCTGCTTTGAAACTCTGCTGACTGTTTAGTGAAGCTTCATGAATGCTAATTTTTAAGATTGATAGGATTTGTAAATTAAACTGTGAGCTTGTAATGATTTTTTCTGACATACGGACAAGCACCAGGAGAGTTGACCTGACACTCTAAAGTCTTTAGCATCAACTTAGACCTGGAATGATATAAGCTGTCAGAGCAGAGGGCTATATCAGCCCCAGTCTGCATAGAAATTGACTGAAGATTGCTTCATACACTATTTGAAATGACAGCTTATGCTTCCTATGAATTGTTCACTCGTACTCTGTTCACAAACACATCTATGTCTTCTGGATATCTTTGCTACATTTCTTAACATACTAAATAGAGGATAGCTCTTTTATTACAATAGGAAGACAGATCTCTCTATGTCTCTCTCTTTCCCTCTTTAGCTCACATGCTATGGTCATTTTTTTATCTTAGTTATGTTGATACCCAGTTTGGCTTGGAAGTTAAGTTCTCAATTGTTTGTGGTTCAGTAGTAACTTTGTATTGCTTTCTTTTAAATACTCATGAAAGTAAATGCATTGACCATTGATAAAAACTGAGGCTCTTAAGTGCATAATCCATGCAAAAAGTGAGATAAGATCAAATTATATTCTGTTGTACAGGCTTCAGTAAACTCTATTAAATATTCCCTTTATCTCTAATGCACAGTTTCCTCTTCTCTGAAGAACCATGTGAGAGAAGATACACTTCCCACATAACTAGAAAGCAGATTAAAGTCCAGCTAGAATGAACTGATCCCTTGAGTCTCACACTGCAGATAATTGTCCAGACCCTCACTTCTAACTCAGAACTTGAACATCACAATCGAGGACTGTCACTTGTTGCCATTGCACATAAGTCCTGGTGATTCCAAATTAAAGATGTGTAGCTGTTTCATCTTGTACGGTGAAGGTCAAAGTTCTTTTCAGTGTCCATTTTTGTGACTAACTGGGCAAGACTTACCTGTGATCAGTGTACAATTGCTTTTTTTCCTCAAATACATAAGGAGTTTCTGCAACAGAAACAAAGAATTCTTGGTCAGAGCAGTTCCTGTCTTGACAGCAGTCAAACCATTAGTGCTGTCTTTTACCCTGTTTGTCCATTTATACTCCAGTGCCGATAATTGGCTGTCAAAATTGCTGAACGTTTTGCAGCCATGATATTGTTCAAAATAATGAGAACCAATGGCAATTTCATCCTTTGTAAGTTAGAGCAAAGATTTGGTCTATTGTCTTGATTAAAATAGTGGGATAGTGTATTCTGTGTTGTTAAATGTATTTGGTTCCTGTTACATCAATTATTTGTTTAATACCTTTCTGAACCATCTTTTTGAAAAGGAACTGAGGGAAGTTTTCAGCTTTTAAATACTGTTTGTGAGTTGGGGGGGGAATGCTACCAAATTAGAATGAAAACCAAGTGGAATTCTCTCAAGTTGACTGAAGATCCTTTCAGGAGCTAGCAGGACATGGCTTTGGTTTCTGCCTTCACTCAGAGCGCAGATATCTTGTGTAGCTCTAGGGAAGATGGGAGAGAGGCAGTCTCAAGAGCGTTTTGTCATTCTGGTGGTTTCCTTCATTGGCTGATGATCAAGTTCCAGGGCCTGACCTTCTCATCAGTCATTAGTGTACTGTTCTTTCAGAATCATCAAGAGCCTTCCTATTCTTATGTATTGGTTTTTCAATTTTGTTTTGTTTTATTGATAAAGCAGGTTTTTTTAGATAAATTACTTTTTTTCCTGCTGTCAGGCTGAAATAATCAGAGATCCTGGGAGTACTTGTAGTCATAGCTATGGAAAGAACTATGGAATGTTGTCTGTAGGATGCTTAAAGAATGTTAGGTTTTATTGTATTCTGATTTTGTGTCACAGATGTATGCAGAAGAAATCCTGGAAAGAATATGGCTGCACTTAAAATATAGTATATACTAAACAGAAAGGCTGGGCAGTGCCAGATAAATTAGTCTTTGTGGTCTCAGAATTTGGGTGGGCAGACCCTATGTATCTCTATTTTTGCGTAGCAGTTGTCGTTTCTGAGCAAAGCTGATTGATTTTTTTCTCAGTCCGGAAAACAGAGCAGTTCCCCTCAGCTGATGTCTCAGCCTTCCTTTGCTTGTGCCTTTCACTGAGGGATGACCAGTGAAGATGAGTGATGAGAATGGTAGCTGAGCCATGAAGATTTGAATGACAGTAGCTGCTCACTAGGTCTAGGATCAGTGACTGGCTAGACAAAATGGGGAGGAAATGCAGACCTCAGAAAGGAAGACAGCTAGGTGGCCGAGACCCCTATTTTTGCTGAATAAGGGAGGGTCAGTATGGAGTTTTGAAGAAGTTCATACTGAGGAGTGGCACTGACAGGTGGTTTGTAGGAAAAGAAGGTATCACATCCCACACTTTGGGATTTCACCTTGTGATGGGATTCCTAATTGATTAGCAGCACGCTTTGTGCCATGTGCAATAAGAAACTTTTCCAGGGTAAATTAAGGACATCACAGTGATATGCATTGCAGTGAACAACATACAGCTATTTTTAATATATAATTTCTCTTTCTCAAATTAATGACTTGCAGTTCCTGGGAGTGATAACTATGGCTTTCAAAACATAAAACGTAATGGAAGCTAAGTCCCTCAGGGAAGACTCTGTATAGTCAAATCTTACCGTACAAAATATAATGAGTTGGAAATGTTTTGTGTTGTAATGACATTAACTGGTTCATGGGACTGCAGTAAAGCTCCATTATGTTTGGCAGAGGGCATGTGTTTGCTTTTTTCCTTGTAGCCAGAAAGGCATTTATTTTCCTCTCCTGTGTGTATATAAAGTGCCATGTAGGAATTAATACTTTTGAAAGCTAATCGTATTTTCCAGGGCTGTCTTTAAATATTTTGTTAAGGCAAGGTAACATTTTCCAACAGTATCCATTGTATAAGGGATTATTTATCATCTGTTTACATGTAAGTAGGCCACTATACATCACAACACAGTTACAGATTGCAATTGTACCACAGTAAGAATCATATAACATATATGCATAGCAGGTAATTTATGGAGGTGAGGCAAATTTTAGGGGCTGTGGCCTCTAAGTAAATAGGTAGGAACTATTTGCCCATTTTAAAGATAGAGAGTCAAGGCCAGCAGCTGTGGTAGCTGGATGATTTAGGGAGTGTATTCCCAATACATTTTAAACCTCAGTATCTCCTTAACTACACTGGTGGTCCACACATTACTGTTTCTCTCCTGTGCGTGGGATTCATAGCAAAATAGTAGAATATGTGCTTTGCCTCAGTGCTTTTTGAAGGTGCAAGAATCCCAGCCTCTATAAGACCTTTGATAGTAGTTCTCCATGTTCTCAGATATAGGGTTGTTTTTTCCCTCTCAGCCTTCCTAACAATAATAATACTCAAAGGGCTAGGCATAGCTGACACTTCTAGGTGTTATTCAGCTGCAACAACCAGCATTCCACACCATTGGATGTGCTTGTTTAGCGGTGATGGACAGTGAAAGGCCACCCAGTTTGAAGGGCCACCATTTGTCCATGTTCCCTAGAGTAGACAGCACAGGGACATGTGAAGTGTGACCTGATATAAGATGTTATGGAAGTGCAGACACATTTCTTCCGTTAGCTCTGCACATTGTCCAAACCAAAAAATAATTTAAAGAATAAAATTCTCAGTTTACAAAGCAAGTCAAGGCATTGGAAGAGTGCCAGCCATTGTGTGGCACATTGGTACATCATGTCAATGCTGTGTTGTCCCCAAATGCACTAATTGATGGAAAAGACTTTGTTTTGTTTTGTAGTAAACTAAATGAAGGAGGTTGGTGCATGTAATCTGTTCTGATTTCCTGAGGATAATGAGGTAGCTACAGATTTTAATTATGCTAACTTTTCAAGCTATGATTTATGAAGACAATGCATTCTTAAAATCTGAAACAGCCATTTGTCAAAAATAACAGTTGTCAGAAAGAAAGATCTTTGGCTTTCATTCTAGCTTTCTGAATGACCATGTATGCTAGCTGTTCTTTTAGTATAGTTGTTATGTAGCAATAACAACTCATAGCGCACATGTCCCAGATTCACTAAATGAGAGTTTTGTATTGCTCATTATGATTGCTGTAGGATAGGTGTAGCTATAGACCATATGAACACAGCCCTCCTGGGCCTCTATTGCACACCTGCCCCCCTAAACCCCCTAGATCACAAATAAAATTGTTTGCTCTAATTCTTTTTTGCATCTCCTGGAGGCTTCTGGGAGCACATTTTGACATGTAAACATGATCCCTCCCTCACTTTATTTTAAACCTATAAAGCCCTTTTTTTTTACAAACGGGAAGTGACCAGCAAATACTCCCTGCTGTTGAAATCACCAATAAGATGGTCTAGTTGCTTCCTGATGAAGCTGAGTGGTGATGGTATGATGTACTTCAGTAACAGAAACTTTTAAAAACAGTCTGCTTCATGTAAACAAACAAGCGTCCAAAAATAATAATAATCCAGAAAATTGAATGAGTTTGTATCCTTTGAGTCCAGAACCAGCTGTCAATAGCCCTATTTGGAGTTTTTGCCTGTTGCCATGGTAGCTTTCCATCTGATCAGGCACACTAAAGGGGTTTGCCACCACAAATCTCCCCTGCCATGGAGTTTACTTCTGCAAATGGAAGCCAGTGGACAGCTATTGTTTCTAGAGCCTAATCCTGCATAGCCATAATAAAATAAGATTGCCATATTACTGTTGCATTATCCTTGTAAGATATGCCACTTGTTTTAATTCTGTTACTACTGTTTTTATCTCGTGTTTTGTTCTCAGCATTTTTATTCTGTGTTGATTGTCTTTTGTTTGTGATCAAGATTTTTTAACTATCTCAAAAACATGAAGCAGGATATACATCTATAAATATTCAAATGAATAGGTAGAATGTTGGGATACAGGAAAATCAACAGTTGAGTTCCTTTGCTTTTGTGTTAACCTAATTGTGTCCTTTGCTTGGTGGGCTTTTGAGTTTACAGTTAGCTTTGCACAGTTCATTTTACTTTATAATTCAAGAGTTTTGTTTTCCTGTGTCATTGTAAGAGTTTACAAATTACAATTGTAGCAACAAAATAAGCAAATTAGATAAAAAGTGTAATCTAGAATTATCTGAATTTAGTTATCACAGAGCACCATTAATTTGACGTAACTGGAAATATACATGGGAGTGGATTTAATATAAGAATATTTTATGATAATACGGTTGTTACTATGGGGTGGGTGGGATTCCCAACACGTCTTCTGTAAAACCGCTTGTCAGCAATTTTACAGTTGTACATTTCAGACAGAAATGCTTTCTGTTTGGAGCAGATTATCTTAATCCTTGAGCCGTTGCACTGCATTGTGACTAATATTTCCATTTCTTTTTATTTAAAGCAAATCTTGCTGGCAGGCCACAGGTATGTTTTCTTTTCTTTTTAGTTGCATGTCCTAGTTATGGTACAAGATACCCCAATGCCTGAGGTGGGAAGACATGCTTCATTGCCTTGCCTTTTGTTCCTGCTGGCATCTCATTGCTGTGCCATGCCTAACATCTGAGAGATCTTCTGGACAAAATAATAGAGCACAGAAAATCAGGGAGCCCACCTGATGCCTCCTGATGCATTTTCCCCACAGGGCAAGATATTGTGCCCTGAGAGTAAGACATGATGTGTTTGCCCTTGGGAGCCACCCGAGTGACTGGCAAAGCTGTCCAGAGCATCCACCATGATGACTCACTCTAAGTGGGTGACAAGAGACCTTCATGGTGGTGGGAACCCATGATTCATTACCAATTTCTCTTGCTTGCCTTGGGTTCTTTCAAGGAGAAAGGCAGGGTAAAAATATTTCAAATAAATAAATATTTACCCTCGAAGAGGGCCAAACCTGGCATATCCACATTACACGTAGAAACTTAGTGCTCCACCATGACTACATTTACAGGACTTTGTTTATAAGAGTGTGTGCATGCATTTAAAATGTTATCCCTTTAAAAATCCGGAAAGCATGACAGCAGTAACATGGCTGCCATCATACTACTAGGACTGAAGATACTGAGTGCATAAGAATGATCCAGTGTGATCAAACCTGTTTCTCTGCTTGCATCTTTCAAATGCAGCTCATAGCCATGCAGAAGCATCTCTTGCTACTGTGTATGTTACATGTAAAGGAGATTTAATTCTGTGTCACCATTATAATGTGAAAACGTGATATTTTTCCCCTTAGTTGCCAAGAAAGACACTGACACCTACTTTGGATGAATATATAAAAACAATGTCTATAGTTCAGTGATATGGAGTGCCTGGCTGCAGAGCCAGGAGGTGGGAATACAAATACACATTGTGCCTTCTAGGAGTGGGACCAGCTGAGATCGCTCAGAGTATATGTGGCTGACGAGTTACATGCCCTGCCACTTATATACCTTGGGCATGCTGCATGGGTCCCAGAAGGTCACCAGAAGAAGGGACTGCAAACTACTTTTAAACATTTTATACTTAAAAAGCCCTGGCAGAACTTGCCTAAGTGAGAATTGACATAATGGCACATAATTAATAATTATAATTTTTAATAAAATACAATAAAGATACACAAAGCATTTCCTAATTTGTCTTGTCTCCAAAAGTGCCGGGTATGTAGGGTATTGGAGGAAATGTAGTGAAATTATATCAAAAATTCTCTTTTAGTATATGGGACAACAATCACTGAATCCTCGTATTTATATCTTGATTTCAACATTCACATCATTTTTCAATTCTACACGTCTTTCATATCTTGGCAGTTCAGTTTTTGGAGTCAGTGCATGTTTGCTGCAAGAATGTCATTTAAGACCTCGCTTGCATTGTTTAGAATCCTTTGCTGCACCCTTGCCAATGAATTTTGCACCCCTGCCAATGAAGCCAAGTGGGGATAAAGAGTTCATCAATGTAATTATAATCTGTGTTTCTAACAGGAAAAGCCAGAGCACAGAGTTATTTTACAAGTTACCCCCAACCCACATCCAGCCATGAGAGTTGTACAAAAGCCCATAATGTAGTCACATTCTTTGTTAAACTCTTCGTTTGCACTTCTACAATGTGGGATGTGCACAGGACAGTTTAACATAGTTTATCATGGCTTCATGATAATTTTTCATTCTTGTACACAAAAACAAATCCCCTAATCTAGAAAGAGGTGGCCTATGAATAAAACAAACAAACATAACAGAAGAAGTGAGGATTTGAGTCTTTAGATCTGTCAGGCCTAGAGAGAATGGGGGCTTAAACCCGCCCTCCCTTTGTGCTGCTAATGTAAATTTCAGATTCAACTGGAGAAACCAATTTATGGTTAAATGTTGTTTTCATTAGGCTCATGATATATGTAAGCTCTTGTAAGATGTGTCCCTGTCCTTTTTTTTTTTTGCCTCCTTTTGCAGAAACAGGAAAACTCTTCTCCAATTTGACTGAACATGTCTTATGTTTACCTTCTTCTGCCCTTCAGGCAATGTGACGTTTTTGTTTTGAAGACCACACTCTTCCTGGCATCAACTCCATCCCATTTTCTACAAACACCAATATCAAGTTCCAGTAATCAGATGGCTGCATGGGACCTTGTAACATACTGTTTAGCTCTCTGTGTTCTTATTTCAAATAGGAAGACACTTGAACTACCCAAAGATGAAGATGTTGTGGTTTTATAATATTGTGTGTGTTTTTCCCTCTTCCTTCCCTCTCTATGCAACTGTAAATTAACAAACTGTGGAGTATTTCAAAATGGTTATACATATGTCTTTGATTTATACAATATGCAGCATCAGGAAAAGGGGTGGGGTTTATATCCATTATTTTTTGATATAGCTAAAGTGAACTGCAAACAGAGTTTGGAGCAAAGTGTTACATTTATACATTCCTTTCAGGTTTTTGCATTTATTGTTTCAAGTAACGTCTTTTCTGACAGACACACAAACATTATTTATGACAAGCCTAAAAGTATCAAAATAGGGACATAATACTGACTTATAACTTTCATGTTTAAGATTGGCAAATACCATTTCTGGCTATCTTATAAGCTTTTGAGACTATTTTGCCCCATCCAAGCGCATTCAAATAAAATAAAATAACTGTTGACATTATTTTAATGGCTTCTTTCTCCCAACTGACAATAGATTAGTCTTCTTCCTCAGAGTTTGTTCTGATTTTAAAATGTGACCTAAGCTGCATTTTGACTTTGTACAGTCCTGAACATATGCGTGTTCATTTTTCTGTGTGTGTGTGTGTGTGTGTGGACATTATGAACAAATTGTGCCAAATCTTGTTAAGTCTTATGTTTAAATACTTGCTGAGCCAACCTTATGTTTAAATTACCCAGTAAAGAGGGTAAGCTCCAGACCTGTAAATTTGCATGGGCATTTGCTATCATTATTAAAACACTGATTTACTCTATACTTTACAAATGTTTAATAAACATTTTTTAAGGATCCAAATACTGTTGGAGAAATTCCACTCTGATTATACAAACAATTCCACTCAATATAAAACTGATCAGCCCCTACCTAGGATTTTGTTCTTTTTCCACCATGAGGCCAAGTAGGACATCTAATAATCCATAGTGACACTGGAGTAAGAAATGTAATGCTAGGGTAAAGCTTAGTTCTCTTGATGCAAATGCCTTTTTAACCACTCAATTTTCTTATTTCTCACCTTTAAAGCTGAGCTGGTAATAGTAACAGATACTCCTGAAGGTATTGTGAGTTTCAATTACTTATATGTGTTAAATACTCCAGTATAATTAAAAGTGCTATCTGCATGTAAAGTATTATTTTTTGAGGGGGGGCGGGGGATTGCCAAAAGCAGGAAACAGAAAAGCAGATTAATATGTGGGTTTTTCATCTAGAAAGAAATATATTTTGGTATAGATATTTTGAGAAGGAAAGAAGTTTTGCAGAAAAGCAAAGCCATGACCACCTTTCTACCTCAAATCCATGTTTTTTTTTAAATATTTAGTTTTGGAAACAGCTCAATGTTCTGGTTTTCCCAATGTATTTTTGTTTTAACAGATCATGTTAAAGCAGGGGAAAAACTAGCTCCCCCCTTTAAGAATGCTTTAGCAGAAAAGATCCCAGTAATGGATATGATAGCTTTTATGTCATGATGGAAATGTTATGTATGGATTGTTTTTTCTGCTTGTATTTGTATGCAAATTCTGTCCTCTACTCTGCTGTCAAGTAAAAGCTACTTAAAACTTTACATTGTAACATTCTTCCTCTGAGATGCTGATAAATAAAAGGAATATGTTGCAGTAACATCTCGAAAAAAAGATGTAGTTCGTTTGAATATTATGGTATTAAACTATCACATTTTTCCTTTTCTAATCTGGTTACATGGTGTGACTTCCACTCTGAATAAAATTAATTTTTAAGTGAAGGCTGTTTGATATTCTTCATCTTGGAAGAAAACAAGATTTAAAAGCTCGTTTGCTGGCTGAGAACATTTCAGACTTCAAGGTGCCTTTATGAAAATAAAATATGTACCTGAAAAAATATTGCTTAGTAAGCCAGTGCATTTTTCTGCTGTTTTCCACCATCAGTGCATGCTGCCAGTAATCAGTCTTTGCTGATGACAGGTTTTAAATTTCAACCACCAATCAGCAAATTTGGTTTCAAGTCTTATTATTAATATTGAAAATATCAACGTGTGTCACCCTGTTGAGCGACAGAGATGGAAAATGCCTTTTAAATTCCACTGGCTTGCACTCAGCAGGTCTTTTGTTTCTAATACACTGGTTTGTATTCCGGTAAGAAACACTATTTATAACCAGTGGGATTTTACAGTGATGTTAAACATACTTGATGTTAGACTTAATCAGTTGCTTGAAGCTGGGATGCTGATTTTAAAAAAATCATTCTTCGATGGAGGCAGCATGCCTCTTGTATAAGAAGCCATAAGGCTAGAAAAGAGTCGTGCTTCCCAAGGAGATACAGCCCACTGTGCACCTCGTGATGAGACTGGATCTCCATGTAGGAAATGATGCATGTTGAAGAGCTGGCACAGACACTGTAACAGGTGGCCCTGTAATTAACTGCTCATGTGAATAATCTACTCATGTGAATCGCACAACTTCTGGTGTGGAAACCTCCAGAAGATTATGGATTCTACTTCCATGATTTTTATACTAGCAAGTGCAGTTCTAATCACAGCATTAGATGCTATGAGCTATGAATTCCCCCATATTACACATTAATTGATGCACCAAAAACTATGATTCTTGAGGATGAATTAATTCAGAAGGTAACACCAACTTTATAAGGAATGAATGCCTAATTCATTGACTAGTAATTTTATTTTTTATAACTTTAAGAAACGTTTGTTATGAGTAGATCTTCAACATGTAATGCTATTATTATATAGTACAGTATAGCATTACCAGTGCTCATACTACATAACATGTTTTGAGGTGTTTGCAGTCTAAAAGCAGGCCATGGGAAAGATGACAAAGGAGGACAACAAGGTTAAACAGTCCTGTACACATGTGTACACACACATACACGGAGATGTCAGAAGATCTGAAATGTTTCCAGCCTTTGCCAGGGTCTTAAGGATAACGTATTTGCGGCTCCTTAACATTTCTGATTATGGAAAGGCTATTTAGCCATGTTGGAAGTTTCAGCATCCACTGGAAAGGTTTTATATTTCAGAGTCTGAAGGTATCTTGTGACGAAGAAAATTTTACGCTGATTTGGCCCTATGCTGAACTTGGAATGGCTGTATAGAATCACATTGATGAGATGCTATAGGTGGAGGGTTTGCTTTATGTAAATAACTTAAACTGTTCCAAACAGAGTAGTCCTATAATGAACTGGAATTTTTAGCATGTATACATTACTGAAACAGTGACATCTACGTTGGCTCTGGTATGTTGTGAGAATGGCTGATGGTCAGATTCCAAAAGATCTCCTGTATGGAGAATTAGTGCAGGGAAGTCGCCCCAGACGGAGACCACAGGTGCGATACAAGGAGGACTGCAAGCAGGATCTGAAGGCCTTAGGAATGGACCTCAACAGATGGGAAACCTTGACGTCTGACTATTCAGCCTGGAGGCAGCCAGTGCAGCATGGCCTCTCCCAATTTGAAGAGACACTGGTACAGCAGGCTGAGGCAAAGAGGCAGTCCTGAAAGCAGCAAAATCAGGGAGCTGGATGGGACAGACTGTATTTGTCTTCAGTGTGGAAGGGATTGTCACTCTCAAATTGGCCTTCTCAGCCACACTAGTCGTTGTTCCAAGACCTCTATTCAGAGCACGTTACCATAGTCTCTTGAGACTGAAGGGTGCCTACTAGGTGAACTGTTTTACATATAGCAAACCCTCCACCTACAATGTATATAGTTTCAGTAAGGATGCTACCAAATGTGAACTAAAATGTCTTGATATTCTTTTCTGCACCTAACAAACCATAAGTCTTCTCCTTGAGTCTCAATGGGTTTTTTAAAAAACCTACTCCTTTTCCTGCTTTTATAAGCAAAACCTCCTCCTCGATCTTTTTTTCTCCCCAATTGTATCCCTGGGCTTAATTTTGTTGTTCTGGAATTTATTGTGTTGGAAAGGAAGTCATGAGTGTGTTTTGTCAAGAAACAGCCCCAGGAAAAAAAAATAGAGCTCAAAGCTAAAGATTTGTCCAGTTGTTCTCTGGGAGTAAAAAAAAAAGTCATTGAAGAGAGCTTTTAAAAATAGTTAGTACCAAGCTTGCCTTTGCAAGTATAGATGCTTCTTCACCAAAGAGAAAATGTCACACTTCTTCTAAGAACTGTTATGACCTACCAGCCATTAACCTAGAAAGACTGAAAACCAGAGAAATACAAAATGGCCTAGCTCTGTCTAGTAATATGGTGCTGCTCTGAACTGAGCTATCCTTCTAGTTGTTCTTTCTAGGCAGGAATAACAACACAAATGGAAGGAGATTGGCTAGAAGTAAGACAAAGCACCTGTTCTACCTCCAGATCTAAATCTCTTTGACAAATTTTACCAGGGTGATGTGTTGTGAGCAGTACCTAGAGGTGATCCATCATACTGCTAGCATATTCTTAATTATCCAGTAAGAAAAGATCCCATTTCTTGCCCATTTTTTTCTTGAAGAAGTACATGCAGAATCCCTGAACACATTGGTCTGGGAAATACATCCCATCACTATTTGTCATGTATCTACAAGAAACAATAGGGAAAAAATCTTCTCTTGCAAGTTTACAACAGCAACCCACATTCTAAACAGTTTTGGAAATAAAAAGTAAATTTATGAAGCTGTCATTGTCCATTATGAAATTGGAATGCATCAAGGTGCAACAGATGTTAACAGTCTGAAACAGGAGGAGAATAAAAAAAGCTTATGCTTGTGAGCTGGCCAAAACTTCCCTTTCCCTCTGCCTGGCCTGATGTCACTTGGGTATCTGTTTGCTTTTTTCATCTTAGGCTTGGAACAGGTAAACCTCAAGGTGTTCCAGGGAAGCGAAATGGAGGTGATGAGTTTTGCTGCTTAAGTGCTTTTTTGTCAGAACCTGTGGATTAATTCATTGTTACAGCAGGTATAGGAATCTGGTAAGCAGTCAAACTGCCCAGTCATTTCTTTCAGATTTGCTTTGGTTACACCATGTGACTAGCTAGGCCATTCATTGATTTCCAAGTCTAGATGTCTGTAGAACGGCTCCTTCTGAACCTTAAACTAATACACTGTATAGTTTCAGTGGCATAAGAGTTCCATAAAGCAGGTATATATTTCAAATTCAGGAAGGCTTTGTCCTTGGTTATCTGCTAGATGTGTGTGTGCACATGTGAACATTTACAGCTACACTGAACAAAACATTGATTTTGGAGTCAAAGTGAGTGTTGACAACAGTGGAAATAGAAAACATGAGCTGAAATGAAAAGATAGTACTGCCAGATTAATGAATACTTAAAATGTTAGCAATAAGTGGGACAACCTTTCAATATATCTCTTTAAGTGAAGATCACTGAAAGGATGATTTCATGGTGAGGCCTCAAAGCTCCACTTGGTGAATAAGTTACAAGGCTTATATGTTAAGATCAGCCTTGCCAGATGTTTTCTAGAAAAGGGAATATATACGCCATCTGTCAAGAGACCTGATCAGTAGCCACTTCAAAGACTATCTGGGGAATGGCAGGGAAGAAATGTGATGATAGGTGCAGCAGTTGCCATGAGAAACCTCTTTCAAGCATCTCCAAATTCCTATTTAAATATTCCTAATTTGGAAAAGACACACTGATATTACCATCAGTACTACAGTTGCTTAGAAAGAAGTCCAAAGGGCTTTGAAAAATTGTTCTTTATAGCTGTTAATCTTTGAGCCACTGGACTATTGAAATATAAGTAGCATGTAGGTGCTTCCTTTACATGTTGTGTTCATTTATCCCGTCATGTTGCAGAGAACTTGTGGCTCGTACCAAAGAAGGGTGCCGACATTATAGGATTGGTAGTTGTTGAAATGTCTTCAAAATGTTCAGTAATATGTATTCTCTAGTTCAGTGGTTCCCAACCATGGGTCCCCAGATGTTCTTGAATTGCAACTCCTAGAAACCTTGGCCAGCACAGCTGGTGGTGAAAGTTTCTGGGAGTTTTCGTCCAAGAATATCTGGGCACCCAAGGTTGGGAACCACTGCTTTAGTCCTGCTGTACCAGCCACCTCCTTGTTGTGCTCTCTAGCCTCTAGAGCTGGTGGCTGCTGACTTCAGCATAGTACTTTAATGTTACATTCATATTTTGTATTAGCATTATCTTTGGGGTTGGCTTTCTCTAATAGTACAATGCCAGCAAAATTTAAATGGTTGTAGCGTAAGATGAAAATGTGAAGGTATTGCACAAATGTTACATTTCTACAGACTTTCCATTTTCTTGTTTGTGATTCCATTAACATCTAAAGTGGAATAGCAGGCAATCACCATAACTACCTCCATGAACACACATTCAGGCACTTTCAGTTTTTCAGCTCACAGAAATAGTTATTGGGAGCATCCATGAGCCTCCACTATGCAAGTGGACTGCTCATAAAGCATCTTTTTGCTATTTGTTTTATGTATGATATTTCCAGCTCATTCTTCATCCTTACAGCTCACAAGATAGTGTATTGTAAATATGAATAAAGGAAGATCCAAAACAACAAAACAGTGGGGGGAAAACCTCATAAAACAATTCAGGGGCAGTTCACAACAGTAAACTACACTGAACAATACATGAACTTTAAAATACCTGAATAAATAAAAAAAATCACTTACTGTCCAAAATATTGTTAGTGCCAGTTCCACACTCTTAGGAAAGAAATTCAGGGTGGGCTCTACCATAACATGTGGTGAGATATTTCTCAGATAGCAGTGCAATCTGCTCTTCAGAGC